GAAGGCATTTTATTGGTTCCCAGCATGTCATTAAATGCCTTTGAATCATCTCATGAGTAAACTGGCAAGATTTATTCTTCAGATGTAAGAGTCTGCTACCTTTATGTCCCTTTTCTCTTGATTTTTTTCCCATTCATTGTTTTTGATTGGAACTTGTGACTTTTTATTGCACTGGTATCAAATGCTAGAAATGCTTATTTAAAAAATTAGGTGGATTATAACAAAAAGAAACCTTTTAAGGACTGATCCAGATCAGAAATACTTTAACTTTTCTGAGTTTCATGCTGGTTCTTTAATTTGCTAATTTATATACATTAATAACTTATTTTCCTTCTTTCCTTGTATGGTCATGCCTGAAAGTGTCTCTGGAATAGAAGTTATTCTGATTTTAGAAGGACTATATATTCTACCATGTATTTTATTTTATATTGTATTAAATAGTATTTACTTTCAAGTGCCTATCTATTTACTAATGTATTCACAAGCAGCTGAGTTCTGCCACCTGGCCCTATTCCATCAAGGGTAACTCTAAGGATCTTAAATGCTATAATCAGCAATTATATCAACCCCTGTCTAGATGGGACCATTTAAGGATGCCTACCACTTTCCACTGCTTTGTTGATGCTTACAATAATGAAGCTCATGAGAAAGCTACATAGAGCTGTATACAATTTTTAATTCCTTTGTTTAAGGAATTTCTTTTTTCCTTTACTACGGCCACCTATGAAGCAGTGTGGCATTCTACTTCTTGCCAACTAAAAGGCACGAAAAACTTATATTCATTAATGAATTATTATGAAATAAGAGAAGACTATTAAATATTTGAATGAGATTTCAGTCTGTATTGAAGCTAGATTCTCTAGTCTCCAAAAAGGATAAAAATACTGTACCAAATACAATACAGAAATAGTTCAACATCTAAGTATGTGATTGCATGGCTCAAGCTTCATATTCTTCTGTAGAGCCCTGAATGCCCAGTCTACAGAATATGAGGTTATTTCTTTTTTTCTTATGCATTATGTGATTGTCATGGTACGTTTCTGGATAGATATTACAGAAGCCAGCAGGTTGCCAGAATTTCCTTCTCTACTTCAGTGCTACCACTATGGTGGCATCCAGAGCTGTATCTTCTTTGGCCTTCAACTCTTTCTCTTTTTGTAGTCAGTGCTATTCACTCTCAGTCAAGGGCTGCTTTTGCTTGCTTCAGTCTTTGATTCTTTCATATTCCTGCTTCAGAAACCTCAGCAACTCACTTCTGAGCCTGTAGCAACTGCTGTATACGCCACAGCAAGCTGGCTATAACCATATCAAGACTGCTAAGGCTAAACTCACTAGTGTGTAGAGCAAAATGAAAATGACATCCTTTTTGAATGCTTTTGAAGCTGTGCCATTCACTTATATCATCAGTCTTTCTAATGATCTCCAGTCTCCCATCTCCTATTGGATATCTTGAACTACAGAATGAACTACTCCATAAAATACAAGATAATATTCCTTTTGTTGCAGAGATATTGTGAAGACTGAGATATTAAATGATAAAATATTCAAGTGCAATGTAGTTTCTTAATGGACTAATTTTAAGAAAAGAAACTAGTGTTTTTCTGTATAAGGTTGTTTCTTAATAGATATACTAATTCTACTCCAATCATTATAGGAATATTAGTGGCTGCAATGGGGTAGTTGTTCCAATGCAGGTATAGAATGCTTTTGTTTGATGTGATTTGGAGGAAACACCCAAGAAGATGCTGCCTGTGAGAAACTTACTTTTAGGTGCTGCTCTGAGTGTTTGTTGGGGAAACTATAGCAAACAAAATATATCAACGAATAAACAGTGTTATTGTTAATTATTTTACTTAGAAGGTCAGAAAACTTGCAAATAGCAGTTGAATGTACACAGAGCTTAAAATGATCTTGGAATAATATCTAAATACATATTAATTGAAAGAAGAATGATTCTTTTTAGGACAGAACTAAAATTTGGAATGATTATATGTGGACTTTTACATATAAAATTAGATATCTTTCCTAACTTTTGGCTATCTTGGCAAATCATAACATTTTAGAACTGAAGAAATAGGACCCTGAAGACTCTGATTCCTTATTTTTCTTAACTTTGTCCTCCTTTTTAAGCTCAATTTGAGTTTCTTTTCCTTTGTATAGACCTGTGATCTGAGGCCCTCCTTAAATAGAGGTTCTGGGAGGAGTCATTCAGTCTGAGAGAGGGGCCCCAGGGGCTAAAGGGCTCTACTTTGGTGGGTGTTTCAGGGCTGAAGTAATCTTCCAGGATGAAGAGATTTCTGGGTCATATGGAAAAGTCCTGAGGAGTGTATCCAATTGGAAATGAAGAGAGTTATGTAGTGACATATTTGGAGGAGGATCTTGGTTATTTAGTCCAACTCTTACCTAATCAGGAGTCCCTAATACAATGTCTCCAGGTAGTTAGTCATCTATATACTTTTCCTTTAAAGCCTTATTCTGAGAGAACCTAATGCCTCCTGAGAAAGCCTATTCTACTTTGGGACAGCTCTAACTGTTAGGAAATTTTTTTTGAGTAAGGACCAAAGGCAGCTGGGAGTATTCAGTCCGAGTTCTGTAATCCTAGGTCAGTTAGCCATTTAGCAGTTAATAAATACCTGCTGTGTGCCAGGCATTGTGTTAAGCGCTGGGGATACAAATAAAGACAAAAATACAATTCCATGCACTCAAGAAGCTCACATTGTAATGGGGAGACAACTTGCAAATGAATATGTGTAAACAAGATAGAAGCAGGATAAATTGGAGATTATCAAAAGAGGGAAGGCACTAGAATTAAAGGGAATAAGGAAAGGTTTTTGTAAAAGATGGGATTTTAGTTGGGACTAGAAGGAATCCGTGGAGACCAACCAGCAAGCTATTTATAATGATTCAGATGTGAGATGATGAAGGCCTGCACTAGGGTGGTGGCAGTGTCAGAGAACTGAAGGAGGTATATGTGAAGGCAGAGACAGCAGGATTTGACTACTGATTGGAAATGGGGTGGGAGGTAATGAGAGAGTTAGGAGTAAAGAATGACACCTAAGTTGCAGGCCTTTGAATGGTGGTATCCTGGACAGTAATAGGAAAGTTAGAAGAGGAGAGGGTTTGGAAAAAAAATAAATTCAGTTTTAAGTTTAAGATTTCTGTAGTTCATTCTGTAGTTCAAGATATCCAATAGGAGAAGGGAGACTGGAGATCATTAGAAAGGTTAGGGCTGAACAAATAAATCTGACAATCATCTACATAGAGATAATAGTTGAATCCATAGGAGTTGATGAGATCACCAAGTATAATAGTATAGGAGAAGAGGACCCAAGAGTTAGCCTTGGGAGACAGTTATTTAAGTCTGTATTTCTGAAAAAGTGCTTTGTGATTGTATTCATACACTTCTTTTATGTGTCTTAGCAAATGGACTCACAGATAAGTCATATTCCATTTGGTCAGTCAGTCACCGAGCATTTATTAAGGATTACTATGTGCCAGGCACTTTGTGGAGCACCAAGAATATAAAGAAAAACAAAAACACAGTTCCTGCTTTCAAGGAACTCATATTTTAATTAGGGAGACAACTTGAAAAATAACTAAGTACATATAAGACAAATACAATATAAATGGAAGGTAATTTCAGAGGGAAGGTGCTGTCAATGACAGGATAGTGGGTAGAACAAGCAAGAAGGTGGAATTTAAGCTGAGTCTTGAAGGAACCCAAGGAAGCCAGGAGTCTTGAGGTGAGGAAGGAAAGCATTCCAGGTATGGGGACAGCCAGTGCAAAAACAGAGTTGGGAGGTGGTGTGTGATGTTCGAGGAAGAGCAAATAAGCCAGGAAATTGTGTGACTAGCAGGTCTGGACCTAGCTGGGACTCTATTAGTTTAGGTTCAGTGTCAGAATGAAGTGAGTTATAGATTCATTTGACAAAGGAAGATTTACTTGTCTATTAGCTGTAATATAGAAGAGATTTTCAGCAAGAATACTGTACCCCTTAGCTTGGGGAGAAGTGTCTCTTCTCTGTTCCTTTGTGTAGGCTGTCCCCCATGTTTGGAATTCTTTCTTCCCTTACCTCCCCCTCATAGAATCCCTTTCATCCTTCACAGCTTAGCTTGTATTGCCTCCAGGAAGCCTATCCTGATGCTGTCAATTGTTAGTGTTGTTCCTTCCCCCTCCCAAAATTAACTTGTATTTATGTTTTGTATTTAATTTTTTATGCCCATGTTTCTCTGCCCTAATAAAATAGCTTTTGGAGTTCAGGCAGTATTTTGTTTATGTCTTTGTATTTCCATTGTCTAGTTCCATGCTTGATCCATAACAATCAGTCACTAAATGCTTGTTACATGGTTGGATAGGTGAAAATTGAAAGAAATTTCAGTGTAGGAATTAAAGCTTTTTCTTGGTAAAAGAGGAGATGGGGCATGGTTAGAGGTCTGAAGAGAATGGAGAAGGTTTGAAGAACAGCTTTGTGAATGGCATTGGGATTCAGAAATGAATAAAAAGATTATCAGGCAGCAGTGTGGGCTTACTGTACTTCTCCCTTCAAGTTTATGGATTTCCATGTAATTATATATGCAAAGCTTCTTTAAATACAAGGCTATTTTATTACCTTTCCTATTACACCTGATTCTTTTGAATACTTGCTGTATTCCAGTCATGTGAGGCCTATTCCATTGTCTCAGTTTTAACTGAGATATCTAACTCCACAATTTTTAGATTTTTTTTCCCTACCTTTTCCCTCATTTCAGTTGGCAGCCTAATTGGTCAAGTTATCCAGCCAAACGCATTCTTCCAATTTTTGCCAGGAGCATATTGTTTTGATAATCACTTTCCAGAAAACTAGATGCCTTTCAGAATTTTGATAGGTTCTTAAATCTTATAAAAAATTGATCCAGTTAAGTAGATGATAACTAAAATTCTTCAATTTTGTGATCTATTATCATTTTCCCCCCTCAGAGTCACATAGAAGTTCATGTCAATGTTGTTTTTTCTTCTTTAGGGAAGTGGTTGATTCAATGGTTCAGCATTTTAAGGTAACAATATTCGGAGACCGGAGACCAGTTTATGATGGGAAAAGAAGCCTTTATACAGCCAATCCACTTCCTGTAGCAACTACTGGGGTAAGAAATTCATACTTTTTGTAGTTTTATTAAGATATATTTGCTTTTACTAAGGCACTCTCCCTCCGCTCCCAAAAAAAAGTAGAACCAGAAAAACACTACCCACTATGACCATATAAGAAGAAAAAAATTGAAGGAGAATGAATGGGGGTGGGGGGGGAGGTTGAGGGAAAGGAAGTAAAGAGGTAATCAAGGATGTAGCTGAAAAGTTGATAGTTTATGTGTGAAAATTAATTTAAATGTAATTTGTTACCTTGCATCTCTTGGCTTCAAGCATTTTCTCCAGCAGTCTTCCCTGCCTGGAATTCTCTCCCTCCTCATCTCTGCCCCCTGGCTTCCCTGGCTTCCTTCAAGTCTCAGATAAAATCCTACTTACTACAGAAAGCCTTTCCCAATCCCTATTAATTCTAGTACCTTTTCTCTGTTGATTACTTCCTATTTATCCCGTCTATAGCTTGTTTGTGTGTAGTTCTTATATTTTGTCTCCCCCATTAGATTGTGGGGTCTTTGAAGTCAGGGACTGTCTTTTGCCTTTTTTTTTTTTTATCATTTGTATTTAATACAGAATTTGGCATGTAGTAGATGCTTAATAAATGCTCATTGACTGACTTACCAAACAAGTTTAGTTGGCTGTTTTAATGCTTATTTTTAAGGTTTTAATAACATTTCATTTAAAATCTGTGTTTATGTCTTTGTAAGAGTCTTGCATTACTTTCATTTAAAATGCTTTAGTATTGTCCATGTGAATAATAATATACATTTAAAAAGTTTAATTTGTATCTTTTAATAGCTCCTACTCTAGCAAAGAATAAAAAAGAGAGAAAAACTCAGTTCAGCCAGATAAATCAACGGCACATCAACCCTGGCCAGCACATGTAGCATTCTTGATTCATGGTCCCTCAGCCTCTGAAAAAAATGCAAGGAGGTCCATCATTATACGTCTTCAGTGACAAGCTTGTTCATAATTATGCAGTACTAAGTTTAAATTTTGTTTTCAATTTATATTATTGTAGCCATTGTATATATTTATTTCTGGTTCTGTTGACTTCACTTTTGTATCAATTCATATGACTTGTCATGCTTCTCTGTATTAATTTTCAGTGTTTCTCACAACACAGAAATATTCCATTACATTTTATGTAACACTGTTTAGTCATTCCCCAGTTGGTGGCATCTACTTTTTCTTACAATGATGCTATAAATATTTTGATTTATTGGATCTTTCATTTTGCCATTGCCTCTTTGAACTATAGGCCTAGCAGTGGAATCTCTATGTCGTAGTGTATGGACCTCGTAGTTATTTGTTTAGCATAATTCCAAATTACTTTCTAGAATGTTTGGACAAATTCATAGCTCCACCAGCAGTGCATCAGTATGTTTGCTTCTGTCATTTACTATTCCCTTCCTTTTTCATCTTTGCCAGTTTTCTGAATGGGAGGTGAAGCATCAAAGGTTGTTTAGATGTGCATTTTTCTTATTAATGATTTGGAAATTTTTCCATATGGATATCATTAGTTTACAATTATCTTTTTGAGAACTATTTGTTAATATCATTTGACCACATTAGGCTTGTGGGGAATTCTTTTGTCTTACATTTTTGCATTAATTCCCTATATATCTTGGATAGCTAACCCTTAATCAGAGGTAGTTGATGCAAATTTTTTACCCATTCAACTGATTCCCTTCATATCTTTATTACTATAATTTTTTTGTATAAAAGCTTTTCAATTTTGATGTATGCATTTTTAAAAGTTCTTATGCAAGTTTGTACTTTTACTTTGTTGTTTTTTAAATTATCACTTCAATATTTTAAGGCATTTGTGATTTCATCTATTATATGTATTCCTTCTGTCTCTGCTTGAACAGTCTTAGTAATTTCTCTGGCCAAAAATCAATCCTTCTACCAACATTTTGGTGATGAAGTTATTTGACTATAGCCTGGCTAGTCCTCCCACCAAAGACCGTCTTTAAAGTGTGGGCCTATATTTGAAGCCTTTTTTTGTTTTGGTGCAGGCCAGGGTTTATGCTCTACCGACATAGTTTTTGTACCCTAGTGTCAGCCTCATGCCATGATGAGGCATTGGATTTTAGTGGAGAACTAGTAAGTAAAACTCAGAGAATATGTGTATATCTTGTTAGGTTTTGATTTGGTTCTTTTTCCCTCCCTACAGGTGGATTTGGATGTTACCTTGCCTGGAGAAGGTGGAAAAGATCGTCCTTTCAAGGTGTCAATAAAATTTGTATCTCGGGTGAGCTGGCATCTGCTGCATGAAGTTCTGACAGGACGGGCTTTACCTGAGCCTATAGAACTAGACAAACCAATCAGCACTAACCCTGTTCATGCTGTCGATGTGGTGCTACGACATCTACCCTCCATGAAGTGGGTTCTCTTATTTTCTTTTAATTTTTTTTTTAAGTGAGGGGTGATTTGTGTGGATTTTTCTTTGAAAGGACCTCATTAGTTTTCCTGTGTTGATCAGGCATAATATGTATGATCATATTGAAGTACAGATGTGTTTTCCTTCAGAATTTGAAATCATGTAGTTCATTTTGTCAGTATCCATCTATTTGTATACTGATAGCTACTTGTGGTAAAATAGACATCGTGTTAAAGTAGATACTCATCAGCTGATTAATTTTTACAGTAGTTTTTGTGTCTTAATAATGTGTTCTATGTTATCTCATTTAACCCTCACAGAAACCCTGTCCATTAGATCATATAAGTGTTATTCCCATTTCTCAGATGAGACTTGCTTGAGGTCACACAGTAGGTGGCAGAACTAGGATTAGAACTTAGGTCTTCTGATTCCAAACTTGTTATTCTTTGCACTATGCTACAATACCTTTATTCCTATATGTAGACCACCTTATATTTTAAAATCTATTTATCTAGCTTCTCAACCAATCAGTAAGCATCTGTTAAGCTCTTACTATTTTCCAGGCACTGTGCTGAGCACTGGGTTACAAATATAAAAAATGGAACCTCTCTCAAGAAACTCTTATTCTAATGGAGAGATACCAAATACTTATATAAGTGTATGTAGAATAAATATAAAGAAAATAAATACAAGATAGTTAGGAAGGGAGAGCACTAGTAGTTGGAAGATAGGGATCAGGAAAGGCTTCGTGTAGGAGATGGTGCTTGTGCTGCCTCTTGAAGGAAGGAATTCACTGAGGTAGAGATGAGGAAGGAGTGTTTTCCAGGTATGGTGGATGATCAGTGCAAACACATGGAGACTGTGGGAATAGGGACTAGAAAGAAGGCCAGATGGAATGGATCATACCATGTGGGAGAGGTAGTGATGTATTGGACACAGAGATTGGATTATATCATAAAAGGCTTTTAAAGCTAAAAAAAAAAAAGTTCTATTCATATCCTGGGTAACCTGAATTCTTGCACTGACTTCTTCTTTCTTAGGCCTCTCTGGATCATTGAGGTTCAGACTTTGCATAGGATCTTCAGACCTTCTTTGGCATGTCAGGTCAGAATGCTAGGATCATTAGAGCCCCTGGGCCTGAGCTGGCCAGGTTTGAGTACTGTTTTATTGTGGTCAGCTCTAGGCTGGGCTGGGCTGCTCTTCTCTCCTCTCCTCTCCTCTCTAGCCCCCAGGGGCTCACTTACTATCCAAATGTTTTCTTAAGGGAGCCCTCTTTTTTTGCTGCCTTAGCAAACAGAGCATTGCAGGTTGCAATTGCTCATTCTTGTCACTCTGCACTGGCAGGCTCTTTCCCTTGAATTTCTGGCTGAACTCTTGTACAGTTCTAGGGTAGAAGAAACCACTTAGTATAATTTGTCATTGGATTTCTTGATCATTATCATTCTGTCTAGTACACACTTTAGGGTCTTAATGGAGTAAGCATGTGGATGCTAGGCAGTCTTCCTCCCATTCAAGCAACTATCTTAACAGGAAGGCTGATGGTATTGTCTCAGCTTTCAACCTTCTCAACCTATCTTCTGTTTTATTTGACACTGTTGACTATTTTGTCATCTTGAGTTTTGTGACAGCTCTCTCCTAGTTCTCCTGTCTGTCTGTAGATTTTTAATCTCCATATCATACCCCCTAACCCTGAGACTCCATAGGTTTTCCAGGGCTCCATCCTAGGGCCTCTTTTCCTTCTACTGATTCTTGCTAACCTCATTAGCCCCCTTGGTTTGAACTATCATCTCTATGCTGGTGACTCCTAGATTCATATATCCAGCCCCAGTCTCTCCCCTAAACTACACTCTCCTATCCCCAGTTGAATTGAATATTTCAAATTGGACATCTTGGAGTTTGTCCAAAGTCAGTTTGTCCAAAACTGAACTCATTATCTTCTTCCAAAATCCATTCTTCTTCCAAATTTTCCTATTTCTGATGACAGTGCTACCATCCTTCTATTATCCCACATTAGTAATCTTAGCATTGTCTTCTACTTCACCCCATATATCTATTTAGTTGCCATCTCTTGCCATTTTTACCTCCATACATCCAACCCCTTCTCTACACTTAACATAACTACCACTTTAGTTCATCACCTCTTGGATAGATTATTGTAAGAGCAGCCTAATTGGTCTCCTTGTTTCAGGTCTCTCTTTTTCTCAGTTCATCTTATACATTACTGTCAGGTAAGTTTACCTAAGCATAGGTCTGACCATATAACCTGCCTATTCAGTTAACCCTAGTGGCCTTCTAAGATAATATATAAATTCTTCTGTTTATTTTTGAAAATCTCTTATAATATGGCTTTATAAGACCTGTCTTTGAAGGCATTACTTCCCATTCTCTGATTAGTCTAACTGGATTTCTCTTCATTCTTCAATCATGACACTCCATCTCCCATCATTATGCCTTTGCTCTGGCCATCTCACATATCTGGAATGCCTTCTTCCTCCTAGAGTCCCTCTCTTCCTTTAAGATGGAGCTAAAGAACTATCTTTTATGTAAAGCTTTTAAGCCTTTCCTGATCTCCATTCCCCACAATTGCTATTGTCCTTCCCTCAAATGACTTTGTATTTAACTATTTTGTGTATATATATATAAACTTTATATTTATGTTGTTTGTGTGTATATATATATATTTTTTTTTCCTTATTGTCTCCCCCACTAGACTGTAACCTTCTTGTGAGAAGGGATGATTTCATTCTTTAAGTAATGCTACATTAATTGAAAAGTGAGGGGGAGAGAGAGAGAGAGAGAACAAGAAGACTCAGATTGGAACTTTGGGGAACAGAGTCAAGAAAAAGTAACATCACAAAATCCCAGAAAGGAAGGAGTATCCAGGAAGAAGGGTGGTCAGCAGAGTCAGAAGCAGCATAGAGGTCAAGAAGGATAAGAATGGGAAAACAGTAATTTTTTTTTTTAAACCACATTTAGGATTTCACTCCCAAGTGAGGAAATTCTGTCATTGCAAGTCAGCATCTCCTCTGCAACTTACAATCTTAAGACTGTTGCGTGGGGCACTGAGAGGTTAAGTAATTTGCCAAGGGATACACTTCCAGTTTGTGTCATGGATGGGACCTGAACCCAGGTCTTCCCAACTCCAAATCTACCCCTCTAGTCACTTTGCCTGGCTGCCTTCCTCTACAGTAAACTCTTAATTAGTGGTATGGTAGTTGGGAATGACTTGAGTTTTTGTCATGCTACCACCTCATATTTAGCTCTACTATGGAGGAATATCTCTACTGCTTTGTTTATAGTAGCTTTTTGCACATCACAAGTTATATAACACAGATAGACTCTTCTTAGGCTTATGAACTCTTGAATTTTTAACCCATGTGACTTCTTGGAATGTCCAAATAAAACACTTATTCCACTAAATGAGTTTTTTAAATGATGACAATATTACAATGCAGTCCAATGCAACAATGACAATCCAGTTGGGTCCGTTTTCTATTCCCTGGCTAGGAAAATGTTCATTTTATTTTCATATATTTGGCATTTATGTTCTTTTGGTAATATAATTTTATATGTTAAAACTAAAGTTTCTCATATGTTCTAAGGGTTGCTTAAAAATTCATGTAGAAGACCAATTGAACACAGAAAGTGACTTTTTTCTTTTTGTAGGTATACCCCTGTGGGCCGTTCCTTTTTTTCTGCTCCTGAAGGATATGATCACCCTCTGGGAGGAGGCAGGGAAGTATGGTTTGGATTCCATCAATCTGTTCGACCTGCCATGTGGAAAATGATGCTTAATATTGATGGTAAGGAACATAATTTTAGATTGGTGTGACTTTTGTGTAATGTGTATCTCGGATACTAAAACTGCACATTTAAATTTTTTGATGGTAAGACTTTGGCAAGCCAGGAAAAAGGACCTTCTAAAATTTTATTAAAGCAATAGCATTTTAGAAAGCCTTTAAAAAAAGCTTTACCTAGGGTGTACATATTCATCCTATTTAAGTATTAAACCTGAAGTTTGCACATGAGAAATATCAAATCCTAACTTTGTGATCTGAACAGAATTTTTTGTATAACTCATTTTTGTCCTTTTAACTCTAATAAGCAAGTGTTTCTTTGCGAAATTTGTATTTTAAAGCAACAAACTGGAACAGTCATTATGACCAAAGATGTTATGACTACTGCTACTTTTTAATACAGTGCTATTTTTAACCACAAATGTTTATTCTTTTATTTTTGAATTCTAATATACTTTCATTCATACAAATCTGTTGTTAAGAGAATTTTTCTGTTTTAATTATTGAACTTGGGAATAGTTTTAGATATTTTGAGAATGGTTTCAAAGGTTAGGAAAAAACCAACACAAAATTGAGGTCAGTGTCTAGTTTTGATTATGGTTTAAAGAGAAAAGGGCACAAATGGGTACATTCAAACTTGTCACTTTGAATCCTTTTATCTAGTCTAATGCCAAGTTGTGTCAGTTTTTTACCTTCATAACATATCTTGCATGTGCGCCACTCTCTCTTCTGACACTGCCACCACCCTGATGCAGGTTCTTTTCACCTCACACCTGGACTATTGCAATAACCAATCAGTCTTCCACTCACCTTTCAACTTGATCTTCCTAAAACTCAGGTATGGCCACGGTGTCTCCTCCTCCTCCCCCATTCAGTAAACCTCAGTGGCTCCTTATCACCTCCAAGATCAAATCCTCCTCCCCCATTCAGTAAACCTCAGTGGCTCCTTATCACCTCCAAGATCAAATATAAAATCCTCTGTTTGGTATTGAAAGCTCTTTATCACCTGCCTCCTCTCCCCCACCTTTCCAGTCTTCTCGAACCTTACCTCTCTTACCTTGCCCCTCCCGCCTTCCAAGCTCTGCAGCGCAATGACACTGGCTTCTTTGCTCTATCTTACGCAGGATATTCCATTTCCCAGTTCTATGCGTTTTCACTGACTGTTCCCCATGCCAGGAATTCTCTCTCTTTTCATATTTACATACTGGCTTCCTTCATGTCCCAGCTAAAATTCCACCTTCTGCAGATTTTTCCCAGTGAAAATGCACAGAAGAATGAGAATTGAGAAAAGACCATTAGGTTTGGCAATTAAGAGATCATTGGAATCATCCAACAATCACAATATTTGCTGCATGTTTCTTTGATAAGATCTCCTTTCCAATATATATAAGAAATGGATTTTAATTTGTAAGAAGTGCCATTCCAAAATCTAAGAATGTGAACTGCTAGTTTTTGAGGAAAAAATCCAAGATATCAATAAACACATTTTAAAAAAAAGCTCCAAATCACTAATAGAGAAACGTACATTTCTCAAATTCTTAGCAACTCTGTGGTTCAAGCTCACAGCAATAAAACTGACCAGCATGACAACAGAAGTGAAAAGTGACAGCTATTAAAGGAGCTATAAGAAACCAGACACATGAATGCACTGTTGGTTGAGCTGTGAATGAGTCCAGTCATTCTGAAAAAGTTTGGAGTTATATCCATAATGTAACTAAACTGTGCATAGTCTTTGACACTTACTTTCTCTCTCTCTTAATATATGTGTGTATACGGCAAGAGAGAGTACCAGAATGTGATAGAAAACTATTTTGCCCTAAAAAAATGAACATAGGGATAATTTCAGAGAAGCCTAGGAAGACTTGTATGAACTGATGCAGAATTGTAAAGACAGTTTCAAAAAACTTAAGAATTCTGATCAGTGAAATGACCAACCATGATTCCAGAAGACCAATGAAGAAATATGCTGTTCACTTCCTAATAGAGAAGCGATAGTATCAAGATGCAGAGTGAGACATGTTTTTGGACGTGGCAAATGCAAAAATTTGTTTTGCTTGACTGCGCTTATTTGTTATGAGGGTTTTTTTTTTCTTTTTCAACTGAAGTGGGGGGAAGTGAGAGAGAAAATAAATGCTTGCTAATTGAAAAAATATACATTTAAATAAAAAGTTAAGTCATAAGTTTGGAAAGAACAGTTTTGGTTAAATGGAAGTTAAATGGCATTTGAAAAGCCAGACTGTAGAGAGTTGAGTGAGAGGAAAGGAAGTGGAGGCACCTACGATAGATGGTCATCTCAAGTTTATTCACAAAAAGGAGGAAAGGAAAGAAACAATGGCAGGAATACGGAGATCAATTGAGGGTTTTTTAAAGGATGGAGTAGATATAAGCAGAAGCAGCCAGTAGACAAGAAGAGATTGAAGAGGATAGGGATGGAAAGGGCAATCTGCTGGAGGAAACAAGATGAATGGGATCACTTGTGCATATGAATGGGGAGAAGAACCATCTCTTAATGTCAGTCAGAGATTAAGGAGGAGATAGTGGAGGAAGGCCTCTGAGACAGGGGGGAAGAGGCAACTTTGAAGGGTCTCATTTTTTTTTTCCAGCAAAATATGAGACTAAGTTCTTAGGTGAGATGGCAAAGGAGAGGCTTCTATTGTAGATGACCTTCTCAAGCAGTTTAGCCATAGAAGAGAAGAGAGATAATGACTAATAGCTAGCAGGAATGGAGGATTGCATTCTGCCTTATATCCCAGGTAAGTGCATAGGAGAGGGCCAGGCAGAGTGTAGTGAGTACTGTTAGAGGAAGAGAATACTTTCAATTGGTGAGATTGAGGAGTAGGTAGCATCTGGATTAGACCTTAAAGGAAAGAAAGTATTTCAAAAGTGGCAGTGGATCAAGAGCACATACTAAACATAGGGGTAGACAGAAGAAAGCACATTGTGGAACCCCAAGTTCTAGTTTTGCTAAAGTATATGCTCCTTGGAGAAAAGTAGTTTGAGAAGAATGAAAAAGGGGTTTTTAGCCGGATTGTAAAGAATTTGAATTCGTTGGGCCTTTCAATATCTGAATCACAAGCTTGCCTGTTAATTGGTAGGCAGTGGGCAATCACTGAGGTTTTTTGAGTAGAGAGGTAAAACCTTATGTGGCACATTAGAACAATTTATCTTTATGATCTTTCAGTGGTATGAAGAGTGAGTAGGAGAAGGGAGAGGTTAGAATTAAGATAGAGTTGTTTGCCTATTAAAATAGTCATGACCAGATGTAAAAACGGTCTGGTTGGATGCAATAGGAAAGAAGGTCAGATGGATGGATAAAAGATTTGTTTTGGCAATAGATTCAACAGAGTTTGGAAATCATTTGGATGTGTGGGGTGATGTAGAAGGAGGAATAAGAGATGATTTAGGTTTTTGAGCATGGACATTTAGGATTATATGGTGCTGCCAACAAGAAAAGTAGACAAGAGGGGAAGGTGATGAGTTTTGGTTATGTTTAAATTTACTAACTAGATACCCATATGTAGATTCCCGGTTTGGAATGTGAAGTGTTTGAAATGTGAGGCTGTAGCCCTGAGGAAAGGTCTGGGTTTCAGAAATAGACATGAGAGTCATCTGCATAAAGTGGTGACAATTATGGAAGTGGAGAAGACCTTCATTTATTCTGATGAAGGATAGGAAGGTAAATCAAGGAGAGAGACTAGTGGGACATTGATATTTTAGGAATTGTTTGCTGAAATAGAGAAAGAACACTGGTAAGAGGAAAACTTTGAGAATGTATTATCATGTGAACCAAAGAGCAGGATATCTGGGAAGGATGATTGATAGAGCACGGTAATAGAAGAAATAAGAAGTTACATCTCATAGAGAAATAGATATAAATATATATACACACACACATATATTTATGTGTGTCTATGTATACACACACACTTTGGAAAGGACACTGTTTGATACTTTGATGTATTTGAAAAAAGGACAGTCTGGTATAGGAGAAAGAACATATAGAAATGCTGTTTTAGTTTGTATCTTAAGTACATAACAAAATTATGGTGTGCTAGGAGATCAGAAGGTCACTTCAAACTAGAGTTCAGGAAAGAATTCATGGAAGAGGTATGCTTGAGCCCAGCCCTAAAAGATTAGTAGAAAGTCAACAGGTAGACATTAGGTTTGCTGTAGCCAAGAATAGAGAAACAGTAGAGTATAATGTGAACAGGGATGTAAAGGCAAGAAAGCATGAGATATGTTTAGAGGACCTTGAAAATTCTGATGTAGAGAGGTGAAAGCAAAGGATTTGTTCATCACATTTCCTAATTTTATTGATGTGTGTGTGTGTGTGTATATTTTTTCCTTTAAATTATTAGCTTCTTGAGAGTTGAGATTGTGTATATACTGTTGCCTAAACCATCTAACACAGAGCCTTGTATAGAGAAGGTGCTCTGATTTTGTGAAATTGAATAACATGGATTTTATGTGTTTTAAGACAGTTATTTAGTGTTTACTATTTGTGAAATCCCAAGCTAGACACAGAAACAAAGATAACTTCATGCTCTCAGAGCTTATAACCTAGTAAATTACTTTGCTACAGAATAGCATAATTCAATGCTGAATATCATTCTAAAAATTCACTTAGTATGTAACCTGCTAGAATATGATGTTTTCCTAGAAGATAATTAAATCCTGTTTGTCCCAAGAGCCTATGAGCAGGCATACCTAGCAAATCTGAGTTGAAAAACTTTATTTCAGCATACTTTTTTTGAGCTCCTTTTTCCAAGAAGTTGTATTATTCCATTTACCTTTTCAAAAAAAAAATTTTTTTTGTTTTCCTTATAGAAAAAAGTAGGGAGAGTAAATAACATATAGAATTTAGTTGCTTTATAGTCAAAACCACCTAAAATGTCTCCTTTGGAAAAGAAAACATGTTTAACCGATAAATATTAGTCTAGATAACAATGTTGTAGGTTTTTCATGATTTTTATCATCTTAGATTCAAGGGGGAATGCCCTAACTTA